TCCATGAGATACCTTTCGATACACAAAAGTTAGAAAGTTTCGATTGATTAAAACTTCTGATAGCTTCTCTTAGCTCTTTGTCAGCGGATGTAAAGTTAGATCTGTTGTCGCTCCAAATTTCATCGGGTAGACCTCTAATACTGATGAAACAGTTTATCATCGCATCTGTATTTAAGCTGTGCGCAATTTCTATGTGGATCGCTCTTGAAGTTGTACATGTAAATAAACAGCCATATCGCTTTACGAAACTTCTACCTTGTTTGACTGACATCGGTCCAAAATAGTCGATTCCAGTACATGAAAAAGAGGGTTCATCAACTTGAAGTCTCTGTCGCGGTAAATCTGCCATATATTGAACCTCTAATTTCTTGGAACGTCTTTGACAAATAATACACTTCGATAAAACGTGTTTCACAGCTGCTCTCCCATTAATAATCCAATATTTCTGTCTGAGGTAAGCTAAAACAGATTCTTGACCCATATGTCCAACATAACTATGAGCTTCTCTAATTAATAAGTCAATCACATGATGCCTTTTTGGTAAAATTAAGGGATGTTTTACATAGTCAATCAACGCAACATTTTCTAATCGTCCTCCTACACACAATAAACCATATCTAGTCTAGGATTTAACTTAACCAATGCGGAACCACATTTTCTCAAAGTTTTCTTGGTTTTTGATTCTAAAATTTTCAAAGTTTTAGGAAAAAATTCAGCTTACACATGCTTAACCATTTTAATTTCGGCATTCTTCAATTCGTCCACCGTCAACACATCAGGTGATGATTCAAGTACAGTTCCATTCTTACGAGATAAAATTCGATCGCGTAAAATCCTTTTAAGCCACAATATGCAAGCAACGGCTCTCTTCAACTTTAGAAAAGACGAATATCGTTTGAAAAATTCACTTATAGGATTCTTATTGTCAGTTTCAACAGCATTAAATTGGGCTTCTTTGCGAATTTCAGGGTCTGTATCTAACATAACTGGAATATCAATCATTTTAGGCCATAAGTGTTCTTCCTGGTACAAAAATTCAGGTCCGGTTAGCCAACGATCATTTTGAATAAAATTCTTTAATTTCAATCCTTTTGATCCATCGTCAGCAGGATTCAAATTTCGATCAACGTATCTGAACTGAGATGATTCAGCTACAGAATGAATAATAGTCAAGCGATTTGACTCAAATGTGTGAAAACGTTTTGTCTCATTATTAATACATTTCAAAACTGACATAGAGTCGGTCCAATACACACAGCAATTAATATTATAGTATAATTCTTCTTGAATTAATTTACAAAGTTTTACTGAGATGACTGCAGCCGATAGTTCCAATCGAGGAATAGAAATTTCGCGAAGAGGCGCAAGTCTAGCCTTTCCCATCACGAAAGCACAATGAATGTTATCCATATTGTCCACCAATCTCAAATAAGCTACAGACGAATACCCGACACGCGAAGCATCCGAAAATAAATGACGTTGAGTATCGACAATGTCACTCAAATCTTTCGACATAAAACTCGTTGGAACTTGGATTTCACAAAGTCTTTGGGAATTAGTCAACCATTTTGTCCACTGTGATTTGTCCTCGTCCGATATTGGATCGTCCCATCCTAATTGTTTTCTACTTAGCATTTGTGGAATTAATTTCGCCTTCATAACGAACGGTGCTATGAAGCCTAAAGGGTTAAATAGTGAATAAACAATAGAAAGAATTCCCTTCTCGTCATGGGTTTGTTAAATGCGTCAACGTAGAGTTCGCTCATATTCTTCCAAATAAAACAATCATTGTCCGTGTTCCATTTAATGCCAAGAGCACTTTCAGTTCGTAATTTTTTTAAGTCCAGGTTAACAATTGATTTTGCTCTTTCAATTTCTGGAACATGAGTAAAAAATTCACGATTATTACTGCACCATTTAGTGATATGAAAACCACCTTTAGCTAAAAGTTCAGTCACGTTAGTATACAGATTAACAGTTTATCAACAGTATCCACGGATTTCATCAAATCATCGACGTACATATTACAGTTAAAATAGTTTCAGAGTCAAAGTCATTCTCGTGAGATCTAGCACAAAGTTTTACGCAATAATTTGCAACACATGGTGATGATGTCGCACCAAAAATATGTTTCACCATCCTAAATTCTTCTACAGAGTAAGACAAGTCATGATTCTTCCTCCACAAGAATCTAAATGCATCGCAATCTTTAGGATCAACTGCCACTTGGTGGAACATAGCTTCAATATCAACAGTGATTCCAATCAACTCCTGTCTAAACCGCAATAATATTCCAACCAACAAATTAGCTAAGTCCGGTCCCTGTATTAAAATCTTGTTCACGGAAGTATTACCAAATTTGGCAGCACAATCAAACACGATGCGCACCTTTCCTGGCTTAAGTGGGTGTGTTACCGGGTGGTGAGGTAAATACCAAATCCGATCCTCTGATTTAAGGTCTTTTGCTGAAACCAATTCCGCATGACCTTTGTCCAAATAATCTTGAATTGCAGTTTTATATTTAACAAATAAGTCTGGATTTTTAAGAAATCGTCTCTTTAATGTTTTAAGTCTAAATTCAGCCGAAGATTTATTATCGGGATGTACCGAATGTTCACTTTTCCATTGAAGTGCCACTTGATAGTGTCCATCAACCAACTTTACACTATTCTGAATAATGTCTAAAGCTCGTTTATCCTCAAAGAACATTCCAACTTTCTTTTCAACTTTCGTTCATGTTGCTCACCACATCTAGATTCTAAAGGTATAAATAAACTAGGGTTTTGTTTTAAACCAATCAACAATGATATTTCAGGTTCATCCAGATCTTCTAATACGATATCTTTCAGGTGAGAGTAGTTTTTAATATCAGATTGCATTGCTATACAATTATTGGATATAGGCAAATCTTCCACCGTTTTCACGTTCTTCAAATTATATGAAACATGTCCATCCAATGACATCACAGTTATGTCCACATTTTGACTAATCATGTCCGCAGTTCCAGTACTGATCCCAAACCATTTCCTTTTAGGCCAATTGAGTGGACGATTGGCCCCTGAATGCGTAGACGACTTTAAATTCGATCACCAGAAACGATGGTGACGAGTTCAGGAACTTGTCAAACAATTTTGGCAACGGTGGATGAAGGAAATATTGAAGTAAATGAAGCAAACAACTGGATTTTAAGGAAGGAGATGTCACGTTAGAGTTGTGGAAATTAAGATTGGTGTTTCGGACCACCGGTAATGTTGGTGAACGGTGATCCGGGTGACTCGACTGAACGCGAAACATTACTTAGTTGTCCAAGACGCCTGCTCGACACTGCCACATCATCATTTTTCATTGCCATGTTGTCATCGGCCATGTTCATCGAATAGATATTTTAGAAACATCACATCGTTCTTCATCGCATCCCCAACAATAACAAAATAACACACACCCTGTAATATATTATATGACGATAAATCCATTAAACTAAGTAATTATTGGCAGCGCTCAAAATATTTATCCCATTAGTCGTAGGTTTATGGATAATAGTTAATGGATTTATCGGGTCATATGGAAGGATCCTGCTGTATCAGGCATGACACCAGGTGAGTCCACTGATGAATAAGACCCGTTTAACCAAATAACTTCACCAAATGTTCATCCTAAGTGCATGTAGTATTCTTTTAGGACAGGGTTCGTTTCAGGATCCGTAATCGATTGCATTTACCCTTCCCCTCATAAACCCCTACTATTTCTTAATTTTTTACTCTCAGGTTTTCCTGCAATGTATTCCATGTTTCAGAATGTAATCCTGACTGATCAAAACCGCCCCCCCCCATCCCCTGAAGTTAAAAATTACCCCCTTGTTGTGGAACTTCATTGGCTTCCCACATTTCACTGGTGTTGTCAACGCAACACCCTAAACTCCAAGTTAGGCCTATTACGAAAAGTAAAGTAAAATCATGGTAACATGTTTTAATTTAAACATATTTTTTCTGCTATGGTATTACTAAATCCGACATTCTCATTGTCGTCTTTCCAATCATCAGATGCATCAGCCAGGGTAACGTTCAATAAATAGCATGGTCTTCGACCAGATGTCCAACTGCTCACTGTAACACAATCACTCCTATTGAGTGCAATGAGCAAAGCACCTTGACAGACGATTAAACGTCGGAAAACGGACTTGCATGGAGTATTTTAGATTCGAGATTATTTTTGTTAAAACACACAAGTTATAATACGTTACATCTTTATTGCCGTTTTAGTTTAAACATAGTCGGGTATGTTTTATGGCAAAACGTTGAACAAATACGTCCAAGTTAATTTTCTGGGTACGCTTCCTGTTGAACACAAGAAGAACAAGATTGCGCTGGCGAAGCTGAGTCATAGATCGTCGTTGTGGTGAGTCAACGCGAGTAAGAGTTGAAAAGCTGCTTTCACACACAGCGGTACCAGAACCGAATGTGGCAACGCTTGCAGCCAGTGCATATAATTTAGGGAAGCCAATTTCTGCTCGTATAGTTTTTGAAGAACAAGATTGGAGTCCTGCTTTTCTGTCTTGACAAC